AATGGCAGTTAATAAATATGGAGAAGTACGATTGAACAACGCAACTAAAAATTATTTTAAATTTAGTGAAGATTATGTAGAAGTTGGAAGAAAATATCGTACAAAATATGGGCAATCAAATTGTCCCACAAACAGCACCATTCAAACTATTGTGAACAAATTTCAAAAAACTAGTTCAATTCAAGATGAAGGAAGGAAAATTTCCAATCGCAGTGCAACATTTATTCTTTATAAACGTTGGTCGTGTCGTAGTGGTCGTTCACAAGAAAGTATTGCAGCTGTTAATGATAGTGTCAGTGCAGAACCAAACACATCAATTCGTCATCGTTCACATTAAACAAACCACTTTATTCAATATTTTGCATAAGGGTCTTTACTTAAAGGCTTACAAAATACAGAAACACAAGAATTATTGCCAACTGATCACGAATTACCTCGTACATTTGTTAATTGGGCTCTTGCAGTGAAAGAAGAAAATGATGCTTTTTTTTAGCAAAATCATCTTTCGCGATGAAGATCATTTTGAAATTGGTGTAAACAAAATTGTCATATCGGGAGTGAAGAAAACCCACGAGTAATAAGTATTGGAACGATCAATGCATTCACAAAAAATAACTGTTTGGTGTGGTGTTTGGTTTGGTGTAGTGATTGGTCCACACTTCTTCGAAAATGAAGCTGGAAACGTTGTTACTGTGAATGGTGCTCGATAGCGACCAATGATTAATAACTATTTATGGGATGAAATGAAGCCTATTAATGTGCAGAATATGTGGCTTCAACAAGACGGTGCAACATGTCATACAGCAACGGAAACAATCGATCTTTTGAAACAGAAATTTGGTAATCACATAATTTCTCGAAGAAATGTTAATTGGCCATCAAGACGATCTATCACCATTAGACTTCTAAGTAAAGTCAATCCTCAAACCACTCAGCATCTGAATATAAACATAATTGATCAAATCACTCACATTGGAGCACTATTATGTGAACACGTGATGGAAAAAAAAATTTTGCTATAAGATTGAAGGCTTGTAGAGTTGCAAGAGGTGACATTATTTTCCATTATTAACCGCAACATGTCTACTTTAATATTCAATAAAGATCTTATTATTTCGAATAAATTATGTATTTTATTAAAAAATTAAAAAGTTAACTAAAATTTGAACACTCTCTTTAATATCACTTTGGAGAAAGGTCAGCCACTATAATATTTCATTTCTATTTTAAATAAAAATTATCCTAACTAAGAAAAAGTGAAAAATATTAAATATTATTCCTACATACATACATAAAATAATTTATACAGGGTGATTCACAAATGATGACCAAAAATAAAACCTCGTATTCTTTGGTAAATTTTAAGGGGAGCCTTTCCTATAAAGTTTTTATCTAGGACGCTTCGTTAAAAAGATACAGGGTGTTAAACTTAAAAAATTAATTTTAATTTTTTTAAATAATTTAAAAACTAGTAAGTGAAATAATTTAAAATCGAGCACATGTAAATACATGTTACAATTACATAAATATGTAAACATTGTCCAAAATCTGAGGCCTTTTTCTAAAATTTATATGCTCCAGTGACGGAGATATACGGTATCGGTGGCATATTTTCCTGAACAAAATACGCTACTGCTTAACGGTAACAATCATGATAATTTCGGATTCGTCTTTCAATTTTCTACAAATTACTCTCTTGTTTCGAAAAAAGCCTGATTTTCGAATAAAACTTAATAAACGAACTGAAAACACTTTTACTTAATGACATGACAAACACTAATCATTCGGTTATTTAATCGAATAAAGAAATTAATAAAATTTTAATGATTTTATTTGAGTAAATGCTCAAAAATACCTCCATTGCCACGAACACAGACGCGACATCTTTTTATTACCTAACGAAAATATAATTTGTTCGAAACGTTGCTTGAATCTGATGAAAAGCATTATTTATTATTTTTTCTAACTGCTCAGGTTCACTATATACCAGCCGTTTAACAGCACCCCATAAAAATAAATCCAGTGGGTTGAGGTCAAGTGTTTTCAATTAATTTTTTAAGTTTTACTCGAAAATCAGAATTTTTTCGAAAAACATAAGAAAGTAGCGACTTGTAGAAAATTGAAAGACAAATCCAAAAATATCATGATTATTACCGTAAAGAAGTGGCGTACTATTTTATTTAGAAAAATATGCCACCAATTCCCTGTATCTCCGCCACTGAAACATCTAAATTTTAGAAAAAGGCCTCAGATTTTGGACAATATAAATACATGTGCCCAATTTCAAATTATTTCACTTACCTACTAGTTTTTACATTATTTAAAAAAATTAAAATTATTTGTTTTAAGTTGAACACGCTGAATCTTTTTAGATAAAAACTTTATAGGAAAGAATCCCCTTAAAATTCACCAAAGAATACAAGGTTTCAATTTTGATCACCATTTTTTAATCACCGTAAGGCAACTTTTCTTTTGATTCATTCACTGAATCAAAAAATATCTCTTCTAATAGAATCGAAATTTAATTTATTTAAAACAAATACAAATTACTGAAAATTAAATAAGACAATATTTTTGTTTTATTGTTGACACAAAATAAATAACAGTACCTACAAACAATTTAATTTTCAATATTACAAATAAGTAATTACAGACAATCTTCCCGGTTTATGCTAAATCTAGTTCACTCATTTATTCTTCTTTATTAATGAACGATAAAGCATAATATTCAGTATTCTAAATGCCAGAGAAGATAATATAATAAAAATATAACTCTCTATTTGAATTCAACGTTAAAGATAAGGATATAAATACATTAATTCTTCGATTTTCCTGTCCAGTTAACAACAAAGAATTGGTAGTGGTCGGCATTATATTAGAGCTGAATAGAACGCCTCTGGCTTCGTAGAAGACGCGCAAACCAGAGGCGTTTAAAGGAAATGACGCCGCAGTTTCATCTCCGGCCTATTTCCGCTCTCGAAGCTCTAATGTGCGCTTAGCCTTATTCATAGCAAACTGTGTTTCCCTCAGACATTCTTCTTGATTTTAATACCAATCTAATACCACAGCATGCAATGTCGACGGAGCTTTTTAGGTGGTATTTTAAGGTCTTTTGAAATTTAGAAGTTTTTTAGTATGGATGTCGAAAATTCTTTTGATTCGTTATATGTAGCTTACGTTTAAATATTTCATTCTTTCAACTATTATTTAGACTTCACTTTTAAATACAGCAAAAAATCGATCTAGGATTTGAATAAAATATTATTTTATTTGTCGCTATTTATAGTTTACAAAAACTAAAAAATTAAAAAACTATTTTAGAAATAGTGGAACTGCAAAAATATAAGAACAGAATAGTATTAACATACAGTGACAAACATACATGTGTGAAAAAATTTTTATTATTAATGATATTTGCATTGTTAGGAACTCCGAAAAACGTCAGTCAATGCACTTCGCCCTTTAATAACACAGCGGCACAAAAAAAAATGTTTTTCGAGTCATTTGTAAATAATTGTAATATGTACTACACTAGACTTTTTTTCCGTTTTTAGGGAATTTTGTGTTAAGTTAATCACTGATTCCATTGTAAGTTTGGTTGCCTAACAGTCGCGGTCACGTGGAACTCGAGCATTTATGAAGGCACTGTATTAAACAGTTTCTATGAATTTTAAAGATTTCCAAGATACTGGAGTTATTCTAAGGTAGTTGTTTACTTATTCACTGTTATTAATCCTACTTAACATTATTTCGTACCACTGTTATATGCGCGCTCGAAGAGAGTTAATCTGTTTAGATTAACGAGCGAAGGGTTGCAATTCTGGGGTGGCGAATGAACTTTCACACACAAATAAGACCATGCCACACTTCCGTCTATTATTTGGAGCGGGCGATCAATCACTGTGACAGGCGACTTATGCTGAGCAAAGTTCCTGACACCTCCCCATAAACTTTTTACATTTACAATTAGCGACCCATTGTCTGCTTTTCATGTGACTCCATATAGAAACATGCAGATCTGATAAGTGTCAATTAAAATTCTATCTGAAATAATATATTAATTTATATATGTGGTACGACGTGTTCTCGTGACAAGGTAATGATCCAGTTAATAGTAGCCCAAAGCAAAATCAACGTTTACACACAACTTAGATTTCAAACTTGACAGTCTGTTCACATCTACAAACCACGAAAAAGATCCATATTTTGAGAAAGTTTAAAATTATTTAGTTATTCCCGAGTTCGAGAGTGAAATACAAATAGTTTCAAAAAGTAGGTGTTTTTCAATTCCTACATATGGAAAATCATTTACCTACCCTTTGTTAAATGTTCCAAATTCTATAAATGTGTAATCATTTGCTGCACATAAGTGAAGTTCCTCCCTACATCTAAATCAAGAGATTAATTTTGAAGAAATGGCACCCCAGGCAACTTCACAGGAGTTTGATCCAAACCGATTCAAGGACACCTCAGATGTACTACCTGCCAAAAGTTCACAAGCCAAATCTCCCTCTTCGACCGATAGTGAGTGCAGTTGGATCAGCAACACACCCCCTGGCCCGATACGTCGCACAGAAGATAAGGGACTTACTAGGGAGGACAGAGCATCACCTCAAAAATGCTGGACACTTTAACTCCAACCAGAATATCTTCTAGTGAGCTTCGATGTTACATCCCTATTTACGAAAGTACCCGTAGCCGAATCCCTGAAGGAACTGCATCGAAGGCTAATCGTAGAGGACAAGGATGAAAGCCTAATGGATTTGGCAAAAGTGTGCATAACATCGACCTTTGCATTCCGGGACTAATTCTACGAACAGACGGAGAGAGCACCAATGGGTTCACTGTTATCTCCACTCCTGGCCAATATATACATGGAAGCCTTTGAGAAGAAAGTGCTGGTACCAATATGTTAACGACACCTTCATCATCTGGACCCACGGACGCAACACCGTAGCCTGAATCATATCAATGGGATACATCTAGATATCCAGTTTACCATGGAAGTAGAAAAAAATGCCGCCCTTCCTTTCTTGGATGTTTTGGTTGAGAGGAAACCAGATGGCACTTTAGGATATCTAGTATATAGGAAGCCAACTCACACAAACAGATATCTGAATGCGGAGTCCCACCACCACCCAGTCCAGAAACAGGGGATCATAAATACCTTGACTCATCGAGCGCGGATCATCAGCGAGCCAAGACACTTGGTCGAGGAACTAGAACACCTACGCACGGCCCTGAGAGCTAATATCGAACGAGCTATCAGAGGGAGACATACGCCCATGGAGAAACGGTAGTACTTAGCGATGACGTATCTACCTTAAGTGGAAGGTTGTACAGATAAAATCGGACGTCTTTTGAAGAAGAGGAATATCAACACAGTATTCAGCACTGTAAAGAAGGTGGGGGCAGCATTTTCAAAGACTTGCAACAACGACCAGCTCCAGGGCTCCGGTGTATACAGTATTCCTTGCTCTTGCGAGAAGGTCTACATAGGACAAACAGGAAGGCACATCAACACGAGATTAAAGGAACACAAAAGTCACCTCAAAAATAACAACTGGAAAAAATCGGCAGTAGCAGAGCATAGAGCAGACGCGGGACACACAGTGGATCTGAGTGAAGCCAACATGGTGGTGAGTGAGAGAAGATTTTAGCCCCGACTACACAGAAAAGCATTAGAAATTTACAAAAATCCGAATAATTTCAACAGGGACGGTGGTGTAGATCTGCCAGGTATATGGAAGAGAGTCATCCGTGAAAGCAACCGGAACGTCAACAACGCGTACGAGGTCACCCACCGGAACGTCAAGAGTTGTAAATATCGACGACGTGGCAACCATCCCGGAAATCATTCAACCCCAAACATAATGATAACGATGGAAAACATTAGGGCGTTTCGTTAAGCCAAATTAATTAAGAATTATTACGCGTAACTTAAATCGACTCTGGATCGTCCCCGTCAACTGATCAACTGTTTACTAGGTAGGGTTCTCTATATTATTTGAAAAGGGCGGATGTGTGATATTTGTTTTCTGTAGATTGATTCACGTTGTTTTATTTCATTATGCCTTATTTAAATCAAGAATTAACGGATATGGCATTAATGTAAGAGTAGTGCGAATTTGATTTAAATATGACACGTCGTTTATATGCAGACTGTTGCGTCGCCCGCAGACAACAACCGAATCCCAGAAAGACCGCAACGTGTCGAAACAGGGAGGAAGTCATTGTACAAGGTGTGCAACATTTTCCTTCCTGAGTTGAGGAAAACATTTTTCGATATTGCAGGTGATATGGGTATTTCAAATACTGATGTGTGGCAGCGTCTGTTTAAAAATTGAAATTTGTGTTTATAACTATTTTTTTACGAGAACTGAATTGCTTTTATAAGAAAATCAATTAAACATACCATATCAAAAATATAGATACTAACTTAGTTTTTTCTACACGATGATTTTTACATATTCTGTCAAAATATTGATTTCAGTATTACCTATAAGATATAAGATTTAATAGATTTTAATATTAAGAGAGATATGACCAAAAGAATATGTCATAAACATAAACAATTTAGGCAAATATTTGATTGCATCTGCTCGATGTTTATCAACTGACAATAATCTGATTCATAATTCTGTCACTTCTTTTTTGAACTACTGTGATTTTTCGGCTTATTATACCGTAGTCTACGAACCTGGTCGCCGCCAATTACAAACTTACATTGCACTTCGTTATCCTTAGCTAGGAATCTTTGACGTGCCTTTGTTGTTTTTGGGTTAGGCTCTGCAGAAGAAGGTACAAGATTCACCCCTACGCGAAAATTTCAACAGAAGTTAAAGCCAGTAAAAGACCAGCTTAACGCTCTGTTCGTCCCTGGGGTATACCGCATATCGTGTTAATGTGGGAAGGATTATATAGATATGATAAAGAGATCGGTAGGTACATGAAGGATGGAACATGAGCTCTTAGGGTTTTACAACCTGGTGAAACGGGAAATATTTAAAATAGAATATCAAAATAATAGTAGTCGTGAAGTGGGATGGAGGAGGGAGTCGTGAAGAAGGTTTTCAGATGGGTACAACCTTTCTAAAAAATCGGCAACGGCGTGAGAGAAAAATTCATGATACACCACTGATCAGAAATGTACGTCTTGGTGGAATTACGTTTATATAATTTTTTAGTTTGGTTTTCAATTTCAAAAATAAAATATTTTTAATTATAGACTACTTTTTTGTAAAGTTAAATATTAAATTACTTCGATATTCAACTATTTTACTTTTTATTATTTTTTACATCATCTACATCGAAGTCTGAAATGTCTGATAATACAATTATTTTGGCAAACAAATTTTTTATGAATATGATTTTCACGATTTTTTTTTTCTCAAGAAAACTCAAAAACAGAAAAGTATGAACATGGTCCGGAAACGTTTGGATTTCGAAATATAGGATATTAAAATACGGAAATAAAACGGTTTTTTATACAAGGAAGGGATGAATTAATTTCATTTAAATTTGGTTTGAAGCTTCTACGTATGTGTATGATAGGTATATATTTGTTAGATAAAGGAGCGTAATTTCTAAGGTGGACGTAGCCATTCTCGTTTCAATTTTTCTTGTACCAAGCTATATCAAATTTTTAGCTTTGTATAAAGGTATATAAGTTGCGTTAAATCACCATATTTCGTGTTCTCCTACATATCCCTGTTCTGTGTCGGTTCTTATGAGAAACACCCTGTATATTCGCACTTTATTACCCAAGGTTGGTCCTTTTTCCTTACAACTTCCTTTTTAACACTCCTCTAGTCTTGCCTTGTTCTGTTATCGTTCTTCTGGAGAAGTTTTATATGTACCACTAATACAGTAAGACTGTGTTGGGTGCTAAGACATAAAGGCATTAATGGGAACAAGGAAGTGGATGAACTTGCTAGGACAGGATCCGGAACAATTTTTTTCAGACACTTGAATAATACCTAGGATCTTCATACTTTTCCCAATTAAACTTCTTAGTGTATAGAATCATCACACCAAATTTCATCCAATTCGGTTAGATAATTTTTAAATAATAATTGTTTAAATTTTTAATTTTTTTTAAATTAAAAAATTTTCAAAATCAAATTTCTAAAAATCTAAAGCCTTTGAATACTTGAAAATTTCACCACAAAAAGAAGAGCTCTCAAGCTTTAAAATGGTTTTTGAAAAATTCAAATCGGACGATTAGGTGAGCCGTGGTGATTGTTTAAACATTTTCGCAATTTTCACGCTTATAAACAATTGCAATAATTTAATGTTTTTTTCAAATTTTTTTTTATTTTAAAATATGGTTTGAAAGTACTCGGAAAGACGAGTATTTAAAAAAAAACCTGATGATCCGCCCATTATTTTCGGAGTTATAGCCCGTTAAAGTTAACCCTTATTTACAGCAAAACTATAAGGGTATAAGGGCTGTTTTTTGAACTAATAGGTTTGTCATTCCGAGTACTTTCCAGATATAAATTTTCAAAATTTGCAATCACGGGCGTCCCATTTAAAATGTCACTCAAAGATATTCAAGACCGCGTGAAATCAATGAGGTATCAGTGGTGGGGGGAGCAAACACACAGCTACTCCGATCTGAATTCTCGAGTTCAAAACTGCGACGCTCGGAAAAATTTCACTTATCTCAGCTTCTAATGGACCAATTTCGATGATTTTTTTTTAAATCGATGTCTCGCAACTTAAAAAATTCAATTATCATATTTTCAACTACCTTTTATTATTAATTATTGGACTTTTGACATGCCGATAAACAGTTACTTTAAAAAATGATTAATTTATTATGTTTATTTATTTACTATGTTAATATTCACGACCAAAATTTTTGCATGTTGCACCAGGTAATACTAGTAAGTTTGTTTAAATATTATAAAATTGTTTAAACAATAATTATTTAAATAAACAACTGAAAATTGGTATTAATTTTTAGTTGTACGATAAATTTCTAAAAATCTTTCAAAAAAAAATAAATTGTGAATAATTATAATTTTAATTTTTTCGTTTACTTTTAAAATATTTATCTAAAATTTATTTTTTATTTATAAAAAAAAGTATAAGAATCTTTTGGATACTTAATTAATACCAACAACATGGTGCAACATGCAAAAATTTTGGTCGTGAAAATTAACATAGTAAATAAATAAACATAATAAATTAATCATTTTTTAAAGTAACTGTTTATCGGCATGTCAAAAGTCCAATAATTAATAATAAAATGTAGTTGAAAATATGATAATTGAATTTTTTAGTTGCGAGACATCGATTTAAAAAAAAATCATCGAAATTGGTCCATTAGACGCTGAGATAAGTGAAATTTTTCCGAGTGTCGCAATTTTGAACTCGAGAATTCAGATCGGAGTAGCTGTGTGTTTGCTCCCCCCACCACTGATACCTCATTGATTTCACGCGGTCTTGAATATCTTTGAGTGACATTTTAAATGGGACGCCCGTGATTGCAAATTTTGAAAATTTATATCTGGAAAGTACTCGGAATAACAAACCTATTGGTTCAAAAAACAGCCCTTATAGTTTTGCTGTAAATAAGGGTTAACTTTAACGGGCTATAACTCCGAAAATAATGGGCGGATCATCAGGTTTTTTTTTAAATACTCGCCTTTCCGAGTACTTTCAAACCATATTTTAAAATAAAAAAAAATTTGAAAAAACATTAAATTATTGCAATTGTTTATAAGCGTGAAAATTGCGAAAATGTTTAAACAATCACCACGGCTCACCTAATCGTCCGATTTGAATTTTTCAAAAAGCATTTTAAAGCTTGAGAGCTCTTCTTTTTGTGGTGAAATTTTCAAGTATTCAAAGGCTTTAGATTTTTAGAAATTTGATTTTGAAAATTTTTTAATTTAAAAAAAATAAAAAAATTAAACAATTATTATGTAAAAACTATCGAACCGAATTGGATGAAATTTGGTGTGATGATTCTATGCACTAAGAAGTTTAATTGGGAAAAGTATGAAGATCCTAGGTATTATTCAAGTGTCTGAAAAAAATTGACAAATAAACTAGCATTTTTTGCAATTTTTTAAATGATTTTTCCGATTTTTGCAACAACAATAATTATTTTTTCGAATTGCAACTAACTCTATCTTGATCAAAATTTAATTACAAAACTTTTTTTCCTCTTCCATTTTTGTCTAAAATGAATAGTTGCTAAGTTGTCGACGAGAAATCCAAGAAAAAAATGAATTTTTTTGCTATTTTTTTATACTTTTTTGCAATAACAATTAAGCCCACGTTTTTTTTATTTGCATAGAAATATTATCATTTCTGATGTTATTTAGAAGCCGTTAAAGCAAAAATCTCCGATCATATGCGTTTTACCCAAGTATACCCTTTATAAAACAGATACCACCTGGACTATTACTGATTAGATGGTGAATAAAATTTTTCACTGTAAATAGTTAATAAAATTTGTAAGTATGGTGTGCATTTAATTCTTTATCAGTAAATATCTCGGAAACGGTTGGCCTGAGAGATTTCGACCAAGTATACCTTTTTTGATAGGGAAATAAACGCACTAATACGAAACGTCAAAATACAGGGTAGCAAAAAAGTTAGGGCCAATTTAATTTAAGCGTACCCTTATAGGTGGCGCCCTCTA